CTATGAGAGGGCCGGACTGCCTTCCCGCGTCCGAGAGACTCCGCCCCACTCTGACTGACAGCCCGTTTGGCCTATGAAGGGGCGGGATGCTTGTTCAAGGGGAAGCAGGGCCCGCCTGCGACGTTGAGTGACAACCCGTTCTGCCTATGAGCGGGCGGGATTCTTCTTGCTGGACGGTGAGGCCCGCCTATGAGGTTGAATGACAGCCGCGCTGGCCTATGAGCGAGCCGGACAGCTTCCCCTCAGGGGAGAGTCCCGCCCTCCGCAGTGACAGCCCGTTCTGCCTATGAACGGGCGGGAAGCTCTTTTCGTCGTGAAAAGGGAAGGGGAGGCCCGCCTATGACGGTGAGTGACAGGCCGTTAGGCCAATGAGAGGACGGGAAGCTTCTTTTTCGTCTTAGGCGGGAAGGGGAGGCCCGCCTATGACGGTGAGTGACAGGTCGTCCGTCCAATGAGCGACCCGGACTGCTTTCCCTCACGGGCGAGACCCCGCCTATGACGGTGAGTGACAGGCCGTTCGTCCAATGAGAGGGCGGGAAGCTTCTTTTTCGTCTGAAGCGGGAAGGGGAGGCCCGCCTATGACGGTGAGTGACAGGTCGTTCGTCCAATGAGAGGGCGGGATGCTTTTTGTCGTCGTGAAAAGGGAAGGGGAGGCCCGCCTATGACGGTGAATGACAGGCCGTTAGGCCAATGAGAGGGCGGGAAGCTTCTTTTTCGTCTGAAGCGGGAAAGGGAGGCCCGCCTATGACGGTGAGTGACAGGTGGCTCGTCCAATGAGCGACCCGGACTGCTTTCCCGCGTCGCGAGACCCCGCCTATGACGGTGAGTGACAGGCCGTTAGGCCAATGAGAGGACGGGAAGCTTCTTTTTCGTCTTAGGCGGGAAGGGGAGGCCCGCCTATGACGGTGAGTGACAGGTCGTTCGTCCAATGAGAGGGCGGGATGCTTTTTGTCGTCGTTAAAAGGGAAGGGGAGGCCCGCCTATGACGGTGAGTGACAGGTGGTTCGTCCAATGAGCGACCCGGACTGCTTTCCCGCGTCGCGAGACCCCGCCTATGACGGTGAGTGACAGGCCGTTAGGCCAATGAGAGGACGGGAAGCTTCTTTTTCGTCTTAGGCGGGAAGGGGAGGCCCGCCTATGACGGTGAGTGACAGGTCGTCCGTCCAATGAGCGGCCCGGACCGCTTTCCCGCGTCGGCGAGACCCCGCCTATGACGGTGAGTGACAGACATTTAGGCCAATGAGAGAGCGGGAAGCTTCTATTTCGTCTCAAGCGGGAGGGGAGGCCCGCCTATGACGGTGAGTGACAGCCGCGCTGGCCTATCAACGGGCGGAATGCTTTTTGTCGGCGTTAAAAGGGAAGGGGAGGCCCGCCTATGACGGTGAGTGACAGGTGGTTCGTCCAATGAGCGACCCGGACCGCTTTCCCGCGTCGGCGAGACCCCGCCTATGACGGTGAGTGACAGGCCGTCTTCAAGAAGTTGGCAAATGCAATTATTTCCATTGCATCTTCCTCGCTGTTTGTTGGAAAGTTTGCAAATGCAATAATTTGGCAAAGACAATAATTTGGCAAATGCAATAATTTTCAGTTTGCAAATGCAATAGAAATAAGTTTGCAAATGCAATAAACATAAGTTTGCAAATGCAATAAAAATAAGTTTGCAATTGCAATTATTTCCATTGCATCTTCCTTGCTGTTTGTGGCAAAGTTTGCATATGCAATCATTTGGCAAATGCAATAATTTTCAGTTTGCAAATGCAATAATTTTCAGTTTGCAAATGCAATAAAAATAAGTTTGCATATGCAATAAAAATAAGTTTGCAAATGCAATAATTTGGAGAATGCAACAATTTGGCAAATGCAATAATTTTCAGTTTCCAAATGCAATAAAAATAAGTTTGCAAATGCAATAGAAATAAGTTTGCCAATGCAATCATTTGGAGAATGCAATAATTTGGCAAATGCAATAATTTTCTGTTTGCAAATGCAATAATCATAAGTTTGCAAATGCAATAATCATAAGTTTGCAAATGCAATTATTTCAATTGCATCTTCCTTGCTGTTTGTTGCAAAGTTTGCAAATGCAATCATAATAAGTTTGCAAATGCAATAATTTCAATAGCATTTTCATAGCTTTTTTTGCAAAGTTTGCAAATGCAATTATTTCAATTGCCTCTTCCTTGCTTTTTGTTGCAAAGTTTGCAAATGCAATAATTTTGCAAATGCTATAATTTCCATTGCATCTTCCTTGCTTTTTTTTTGCAGTTTGCAAATGCAATAATTTTGCAAATGCAATCATTTTAACTTTGCAAATGCAATCATAATAAGTTTGGGAATGCAATAATATCAATTGCATCTTCATTGCTTTTTGTAAGTTTGCCAATGCAGAGAAGGAACCGGATTTGCAAAAGGCATGCAATAATTTCAATTGCTTTTTTTTTGCAAACACCAGGAAGTTTGCAAACCTTGCCAAAAAAAAAAGCAAGGAAGATGCAATGGAAATTATTGGATTTGCAAAATTATTGCATTTGCAAACTTTGCCAAAAAAAAAAAAGCAAGGAAGATGCAATGGAAATTATTGCATTTGCAAACTTATTATGATTGCATTTGCAAACTTTGCAAAAAAAAAGCAAGGAGGATGCAATGGAAATTATTGGATTTGCAAAATTATTGCATTTGCAAACTTTGCAAAAAAAAGCAAGAGAGATGCAATGGAAATTATTGCATTTGCAAACTTTGCAAAAAAAAAGCAAGGAAGATGCAATGGAAATTGTTGCATTTGCAAACTTTGCCCCAAAAAAAAAAGCAAGGAGGATGCAATGGAAATTATTTGATTTGCAAAATTATTGCATTTGCAAACTTTCCAACAAAAAAAAGCAAGGAGGATGCAATGGGAATTATTGCATTTGCAAACTTATTATTATTGCATTTGCAAACTTTGCCAAAAAAAATAAGCAAGGAGGATGCAATGGAAATTATTGCATTTGCAAACTTTGCAACAAAAAAAGCAAGGAGGATGCAATGGAAATTATTGCATTTGCAAACTTATTATGATTGCATTTGCAAACTTTGCAAAAAAAAAAAAAAAGCAAGGAGGATGCAATGGAAATTATTGCATTTGCAAACTTATTATGATTGCATTTGCAAAGTTAAAATGATTGCATTTGCAAGATTATTGCATTTGCAAACTTTGCCAAAAAAAAAAAGCAAGGAGGATGCAATGGAAATTATTGCATTCGCAAACTTGTTATTATTGCATTTGCAAACTTTGCCAAAAAAAAAGCAAGGAGGATGCAATGGGAATTATTGCATTTGCAAACTTATTATTATTGCATTTGCAAACTTTGCCAAAAAAAATAAGCAAGGAGGATGCAATGGAATTTATTGCATTTGCAAAACTTATTATGATTGCGTTTTCGAACTTAAAATGATTGCATTTTTGCAAACACCAGGAAGTTTGCAAACGTCGAAAATAACCAGTTTTGCAAGGGCGTGTAAAATTGCACAGGAGGAATGTGGCCGGTGCAACTTTTGCAGGGCTGGGTTGGCCTCTGGGAAAGAGATTCGAACGCAGGTCCGACCGGCTGCCGATTCGCTTCCTGGTTGCCGGGCAGGATGGCGGAGAGTTCGAGGATCCAGCTCTTTGTGAAGGTGAGATAGAAAGGAAAGGGAAGTAGAGTAAAGTAAAAGTAAAGTAAAGAGTAAAGTAAAGAGTAAAGTAACAAGTAAAGTAAAGAGTAAAGTAAAAAGTAAAGTAAAGAGTAAAGTGAAGTGTAAAGTAAAGAGTAAAGTAAAAAGTAAAGTAAAAAGTAAAGAGTAAAGTGAAGTTTAAAGTAAAGTAAAGTAAAAAGTAAAGTAAAAAGTAAAGTAAAAAGAGTAAAGTAAAGAGTAAAGTAAAGAGTAAAGTAAAGAGTAAAGTAACAAGTAAAGTAAAGAGTACAGTAAAGAGTAAAGTAAAGAGTAAAGTGAAGTGTAAAGTAAAGAGTAAAGTAAAAAGTAAAGTAAAAAGTAAAGTAAAGAGTAAAGTGAAGTTTAAAGTAAAGTAAAGTAAAAAGTAAAGTAAAAAGTAAAGTAAAAAGAGTAAAGTAAAGAGTAAAGTAAAGAGTAAAGTAAAGAGTAAAGTAACAAGTAAAGTAAAGAGTACAGTAAAGAGTACAGTAAAGAGTAAAGTAAAGTAAAGAGTAAAGTATAAAGTAAAGAAAAAGTAAAGTATAAAGTAAAGAAAAAGTAAAGTAAAGAGTACAGTAAAGTAAAGTATAAAGTAAAGTAAAGAGTAAAGTAAAGTATAAAGTAAAGTAAAAGTAAAGTAAAAAGTAAAGTAAAAGTAAAGTAAAGAGTAAAGAGTAAAGTAAAGTATAAAGTAAAGTAAAAAAGTAAAGTAAAGTAAATAAGTAAAGTAAATAAGATAAGATAAGATAAGATAAGATAAGATAAGATAGTAAATATAGGATAGGATAATAAATATAATATAGTATAGTAAAGATAAGATAAGATAAGATAAGATAAGATAGTAAAGTAAAGTAAGTATAGTATAGTATAGTATAGTATAGTATAGTATAGTAGTTAGTATACTATAGTATAGTTAGTATAGTCTAGTAAATATATGATAGGATAGGATAGTAAATATAATATAGTATCGGAAAGTAAAGATAAGATAAGATAGTATAGTATAGTAAGTAAGTAAGTAATTACAGTACAGTATACTATAGTATAGTATAGTATAGTATACTTAGTATAGTATAGTAAATATAGGATAGGATAGGATAGTAAATATAGGATAGGATAGGATAGTAAATATAGTATATATAGTATGGTATAGAATGGTATGGTATGGTAAAGTAAAGATATAAGATAGTGTAGTGTAGTGTAGTAAATATAGAATAGTAAAGTAAATGTATAGTATAGTATAGTTAATATAGTATAGTAAATATAGGATAGGATAGGATAGTAAATATAGTAAATATAGTATTTCCCTCCCTCCTTCCTTCCTTCCTTCCTTCCTTCCTTCCTTCCCTCATTCCTTCTCATCATTTCCTTCCTTCCTTCCTTCCTTCCTTCCTTCCTTCCTTCCTTCCCTCCTTCATCCTTCTTTCCTTCCTTCTTCCCTCCTTCCTTCCTTCCTTACTTCCTTCCTTCTTCCCTCCTTTCCTCCCTTCTTCCCTCTTTCCTTCCTTCCTTCCTTCTCTCTCTCCCTCTCCCCCCTTCCTTCCTTCCTTCCTTCCTTCCTTCCTTCCTTCCTCTGCCCTTCTTCCTTCCTTCCTTCCTTTCTTCCTTCCTTCCCTCCTTCCCTCCCTCCCTCCTCCTTCCTTCCCTTCTTCCCTCCTTCCTTCCTTCCTTCCCTCCTTCCTTCCTCTTCCCTCCTTCCTTCCTCCCTCCCCTTCCTTCCTTCCTCCTTCCTTCTTCCTTTCTTACTTCCTCCTTTCCTTCCTTCTTCCCTCCTTCTTCCCTCCTCCCTCCCTCCCTCCCCTTCCTTCCTTCCTCCTTCCTTCCCTCCTTCCTTCCTTACTTCCTCCTTTCCTTCCTTCTTCCCTCCTTCTTCCTTCCTTCCTTCCTTCCTTCCTTCCTTCCTTCCCTCCCTTCTTCCCTCCTTCCTTCCTTCCTTCCTTCCTTCCTTCCTTCCTTCCTTCTCTCTCCCTCTCCCTCCTTCCTTCCTCCCTCCCCGTCCTTCCTCCTTCCTTCCCTCCCTCCTTCCTTCCTTCCTTCCCTCCCTCCCTCCCTCCCTCCTCCTTCCTTCCTTCCCTCGTCCCTCCCTCCCTCCCCTTCCTTCCTTCCTCCTTCCTTCCCTCCTTCCTTCCTTACTTCCTCCTTTCCTTCCTTCTTCCCTCCTTCTTCCTTCCTTCCTTCCTTCCTTCCTTCCTTCCCTCCCTTCTTCCCTCCCTCCTTCCTTCCTTCCTTCCTTCCTTCCCTCTCTCCCTCTCCCTCCTTCCTTCCTCTCTCCCTCTCCCTCCTTCCTTCCTCCCTCCCCGTCCTTCCTCCTTCCTTCCCCCCCTCCTTCCTTCCTTCCTTCCCTCCCTCCCTCCCTCCTCCTTCCTTCCTTCCCTCCTCCCTCCCTTCCCTCTCTCCTTCCTTCCTTCCTTCCTTCCTCCCTCCCTCCCTCCCTTCCCTTCGTTCCTTCCTTCCTCCTTCCCTCCCTCCTTCCCTCCCTCCCTCCTCCTTCCCTCCCTCCCTCCTTCCCTCCCTCCCTCCTCCTTCCTTCCTTCCCTCCTTCCTTCTCATCATTTCCTTCCTTCCTTCCTTCCTTCCTTCCTTCCTTCCTTCCTTCCTTCCCTCCTCCCTCCCTCCCTCCCTCCCTCCCTCCTTCCTTCCTCCCTCCCCTTCCTTCCTTCCTTCCTTCCTTATTTCCTTCCTTCCCTCCTTCCTTCCTCTTCCTTCCTTCCTTCCTTCCTTCTTCCCTCCTTTCCTCCCTTCTTCCCTCCTTCCTTCCTTCCTTCCTTCCGTCTCTCTCTCCCTCTCCCCCCTCCTTCCTTCCTTCCTTCCTTCCTTCCTTCCTTCCTTCCCTCCCTCCTTCCTTCCTCTTCCTTTCTTCCTTCCTTCCTTCCTTACTTCCTTCCCTCCTTCCTTCCTCTTCCTTTCTTCCTTCTATCCTTCCTTACTTCCTTCCCTCCTTCCTTCCCATCATTTCCTTCCTTCCTTCCTTCCTTCCCTCCTTCCTTCCTTCCCTCCTTCATCCTTCTTTCCTTCCTTCCCTCCTCCCTCCCTCCCCTTCCTTCCTCCTTCCTTCTTCCCTCCTTCCTTCCTTACTTCCTTCCTTCTTCCCTCCTTTCCTCCCTTCTTCCCTCCTCCCTCCCTTCCTTCCTTCCTTCCTTCCGCCCTCCCTCCCTCCCTCCTTCCGCCCTCCCTCCTTTTCCTTCCTTCCTTCCTTCCTTCCTTCCTTCCTTCTTTCCTTCCTTCTCTTCATTTCCTTCCCTCCTTCCTTCCTTCCTTCCTTCCTTCCTTCCTTCCTTCCCTCCTTCCCTCCCTCCTTCCCTCCCTCCCTCCTTCCTTCCCTCCCTCTTCCCTTCTTCCTTCCCTCCTTCCTTCCTCTCTAGGCCAGCGAGGACGGCGAGAGCGTCGGATCCTGCCCTTCGTGCCAACGGATCTTTATGGTCCTCCTACTCAAAGGAGTCCCATTCACCTTGACCACCGTGGATGCCAGGAGGTAGGAAGGAAGGAAGGAAGGAAGGAGAGAGGGAAGGAGGGAAGGAGGGAGGAAGGAAGGAGGGAGGAAGGAAGAAGGGAGGAAGGAAGGAAGGAAGGAAGGAGAGAAGGGAGGGAGGAAGGGAAGGAGGAAGGAAGGAGGGAGGAAGGGAGGGAGGGAGCGAGGAAGGAGAGAGGGAAGGAGGAAGGAGGGAAGGAGGAAGGAGGGAAGGAAGGAAGGAAGGAAGGAAGGAAGGAAGGAGGAGGAAGGAGGAGGAAGGAGGAAGGAGGAGGAAGGAAGGAGGAATGAGAAGGAAGGAGGAGGAAGGAAGGAAGGAGAGGAGGGAGGAAGGAGAGAGGAGGGAGGAGGAAGGAGGAGGAGGA